CGTTGATAGCGCCCCACAGCGTTGCATGAACAAATCGTGAGCACACCCCTAAGTATACAGCGTGCAAGGTGTCGATGTGCAACGTTACTTCTGGACTGGTTTCAATGTCACGCGAAAATAATGGATTTCGATGGCGCGTTCCATCCCCAAGACGCCCCCTGTTGTTTTTGGTTTCTCCTTCCTGCAAATGCATACAAATGGGGTTGGAAACTCCTCGAACGCACCCGTGTCTGGAAAATCGCCGGACGGTTCCAACCTGTCAAATCGTTTCAGCCCCAGCGCCGGCACATCGCACGCCAAATACCGACCAACGATTTCTGTCGAACTGCAAACTACCAATGTCCAGCAGAAAATCCCGCACGCGATCATCTGCCACGTTGATCGTTATCTCGCAACGCCCACACGCGCCATCATAACTGATCTGTGGTTCGCCCCACGCATGAACACGCAAACATACGCCGTCGCATTCGTAGAGGCTGTCTTTGGTTGCTGCACACCAGATGCAAGGGTGGTGGTGAGACGACCACGTCGGCATCCCCAGGGTCTGCGTGAACTCAGCCCAACCGCCTTTGATCTGGCATAGCAAAAATAAACTTGCCATGGGCGGGCAAGCGTCAAGCAACTCTTTGCTCCTACACCCGTTAGGCCATGGCGCCTCATCCCAGCGGGGCATCGGGCGTAGACCGAAAACTGCGGCAACCAATGACCAGTGAATGCGCGCGGCAGCGGGCCGATATGCACACCAGCCCCGGCACCCGCAATGGCACACCTGCTGCTTGGAAACAACGGCCGCAAGGTGTCTCTTAAGCGTCTGTAAGTTGAACGCTGCTACCCCAAGCGCCGCACCACTTCTCCCAGGGCCGATCGCACGAGCGCACTTCAAAACATCGAGGTAAAATGCGATCGGGAACGCTCGCCGACCACCGCCATCGATGACACGGAACGGGTGGTCCCAATCTTCAGGCGGTGGAAACAATATCCCCGTTAATGTCTCGTCGAGCTTCACCACTTCGGCATTCAACACCTCGCGCGGTGGCGAAACCACAATTTGTTCAACGCCCCCCCGACCGCGCCGATAAACTGGCACTGGCATGTGGAGGCGCTCAGGTGCTGCTTCAGATTCAAAGAGAACCGACCGACGGTGCTGAGCGAACTTCCCCGTCTGAGCGGCTGGCGGGCGGGTGCATTGCGAAAGGCCCCCTCCTGTCACACCTGCCTGCGCTGCAAAGATGCACGTCAAACAAGAAGCTTTCGCATCCAGCGCCCCACTTGCGCACTGTGAAAGCAGATGCCCATCCAAAGCAAGAGCTCCGCGCTGGCGGCCCCCTGCGCGGCCGCGCTCCCATTCGCGAAGCCCCCGAGCTCGCGAGCGAACGGCACTCGCTGTAAACCTGCTGCACCTCCGCTTCTGAAGCGCTACCATATGAGCTAAATGGCTACGGAAACAAGGGCTCGACGACGCCGACATACCAGTAGCTCTTGCCGTCGACGCCCTCTAGCTCGAAGCAGTCGAAGCCCACGTCTTCGACGAAATATTACACGAAGTGGAGGTGCGCTGGCCTCCTTGCGCTCGGGCGCTGCTGCGAGCGGAACGCCCGCACATCAGCTCCTCGACGGCCTGGGCAGCGGTCGACTTGGCGCCCTTGAGTCGCAGGCTGCGACCCAGGTCTTCATTGGACGGATGGCCCAGATTGACACGCAGTCTCTCGAGCATGGCCAGCTCGGCTGGCTGGCAGCAGGCTGCCGCTGATCGCGCCGACCCCGATCCTGCCGTCCACAGCCTCGTCGGCCCTCGCGTCGCGCGCATGAGCGAAGTCACCTCCGCCGCCCATGGGTCTGGGCCCCAATAGGCTCGCCAGTCTCTCCCAGGGACGCGCTGACGTCAGCGCAGGCAGCGGCCTGCCCCCTGGACTTCGCCACGATGAAAGGCGACGAGGAAAGGCCGCAGTCCACCTCGCAGGCGCGACGCCCACGTTGCCGACGAATCATCTGCTCAACGTCGCGCACCACCGCCCAGCAGAATTTAACAGGGTAGACGCCAGACTGGCGCACCGCCGCGTTGTCACCGAACGTATGGTCCCGTCGGTGCTCGCGGCTGCAGGTGCGTCTCAGCCCCTCGCGGGTGACCGGCAGCTTGGCGGGGTGCTCGACGAGCCCTCCAATCTTGCAGCGTCGAGCCCCATACTCGCACATGTCGCACCTCACCGGGCACGCGCGCTCGTCGGCCAATAGCTGCCTCTGCGCGTCTGCGCCCAGATCTGGCCGGTGGCCGGGCTCTCAATCATGGCCGCGTCGCCAGAGTCGAGCTGACATTGGAAAAAGTCGCGGGCCAGAAGGATGGATGGCCGCTCTGCCCGTCAATGTCGCCGCAGTGCCTGCTTGCCCTTCGGCGCGCGGAAATTGAAGTGCGCGATGTTCGCGCAGCGGGCGCAGGTTCGCTCGATCGACGCGAACCTAGGCCTCGCCGAGTAGAACAGGTCGCGCGCTGTCTCGAAGTCCTTCTGCCCGCGGGGGCCCCAGCCGCACTCGCGGTCGATCACGCCCACCGCTGTCACGTTGCGGCCCAGCGCCGCCTCGGCAATGCCGCCATCGCCTCCGAACACCTGCACGACGTCCGAGCGATGGCTCCGATGGGTGTAGACCTCCTCCTTGACGCTCTTGAGATGCTCCGCCATGTCCTGCGCCGCGCCCGTCGCACGCCGGGCGAATGACGCGAGGGGCCTGGACAGCCACTGCGCAGTAAGCACTGTCTGAAAGGCGAGAACGCTCCGCAAGCCCGTGACCTGGTAGAGGCGGCCAACGCGCTTGCCCTTCTTGATGCCTGGCTGCCGGCTTGAGGCTGGCGGCTTCCCCCGGCGGCCGCTGCCGCCCATGGCCTCCCTTGCGGCGGCCCCCGAGAGCTGCTCGGCGGCTCGCTGGTCGCCAGGTCGGTCTCGCCCGCCCTCGCGCAGCCCACGAGGTCGGCGCCCATCTCGCGCTCCTCGAGAGGTCGCCCACGGCGGTGCACCGCCCAAATCCCCTGAAGATGGCCACTGGTGCCAGCGACTCGTTGTCCAGCACCACCTCCTCGGCCACCACTGCCTCGACGGCGGCATATGTCTTCTCCTGCGAGACCAGCTTCTCGACTCCGCGAGCCTTCACCCACCTGGCGAGGCCCGCCAAGAGCGGGCTCGCTGGCACCTTGTCCACCTCCAGGACCGCCCACTGCGCGTAGCCCATGTCGTTCTTGAGCACCCAGCGGCAGTCGGCATTCCGGCACTTGCCGGAGCGCATCTTGTCGCCCCCATTGATCTGCGAGCTCGGCTGAGCCACCGAGCTCGAAGCCCTGCTGCTGAAGGCTTCCTCGGCCCGCCAGCCCTCCAGGCGCCGCCGCAGCTCCGGCACCGTCGCCCCCAGGTCGACATGGATGTCCTTTTCCCCGCGGAGCTGCTGGAGCTCCCCCGTGCACATCTTGCCCAAAGCTGGGATGTAGCCCTGCACCTTGTCGTTGCGCCCCTCGGCCCTCAGCGCGCGCAGGAGCACCCGAAGTTGATTGCACGCGGCGCCGCGCGCATCCAACTCGTAGCCTGCCACTTCCGCCTGTAGCTCCGGCATCCCCATGCTGGCGATCGCTGGTGGCCGGAAAATACTCGGCGTCGGCGTTCTCGAATCGATGATCTCCCGGCTCGTCGCCCTGGGAGATGTCGTACATCGCTGGCGCGGCGGGGGCATGGGCACCGGCCGCTGGATCGTGGGGAGCTGCGGCGGCTGGATCTGCCACGGCACGCGTCGCGCTCGCTGGTGGAGCCAGAGTTGAACTCGAGCCGGATGGCTGCGATGATGATGCCATTTGATAACTGCGTGATGATGGCTGCTCTCGTTGCTCGCTACCTCTTGCTTGCTACCGAAATCGAACACGTCACGGCTGAGGCTCGCTATCTAACGTGGCTCCTAGTAGCCTATGATATGTTTGCGTGAGCTGTGCCACGTTGGACGACGTTGGAATGATTCCCCATGCTTCATCTTCTGATGCCGACGATGCTTGACGCAATGGCATGCACGCGCACACGGCCCGGCGCACCTGCTGCTCAAATAGTTCAGCGCTGTCGAGCTCGCTGCAGTCAGTCTCCGACTGGGACTCGTCGGCCTCCGAGGCGTTGACCCCTCGGTCGCAGCGCTCGAGCGCCACCGGCTTCGCGGGGCAGGCCGCTGTCTCAGCGTGGCAGGTCGCAACGGGATGCAGGCGGATCTCGGTCTTGATATCCGAGACGCCCTGAACGGACTTGTAGACTGGGGCGAAGCCTGAAATCTCTAGCGTCGGATATCCAGCGCGACTCAGGGCCCATCTGGAAGCCGCGCTCGTCGATCGACTTGATGTCCAGCTTGTTGTCCCCGGCGTGGTAGACGATGTCCAGCTCGCACTGGGCCTGGCGGCTGAACAGCCCGGGCACGGCGCTGCGCGCGACGCCCACGCGGACGGCGAACGCCTTGCCGTTCACCGAACAGGGGATCTGCGCCGCCTTGAGGCTGCACGCGACCTCTGACGCTCCAAGACGGAACGGCTCCTTCTCTGGGCTCTCGATGGGGCTGATGTTGAAGACCGCCAGCTTCTCTATGACGTCGGCGCACCAGTCCGAGCCCCCGACGCACCGCGAACGAGCGGCATCGCAGGTCAGCTTGCCTCCTGACTCCTCAAGTAGCTCTTCGACGCTGATGTAGGCACTGGGCGTCCTGGTTGATGTAGGAGTGGGCGGCGGTCACCTCCTCGGGAATCTTGGTGACCTGGCGCAGCGTCTTCTGGTCGACCGCCTGCAGCGCGCTCTGCTTGCAGGCTCTCGCCGCGCCCACCTGTTCCTGCAGGTAGACCGCCGCGACTGTCATCTCTGCCACGCGGGGCTCCTGCGCGTCGCCGGCCTCGTCGTGCGCGGCGAGCTTCGCCCTGCGATTTCCCTCGCGCGGGATGCCAGCCCCCGCGCTGGGATCATTCGTCCTCGGGCGCTGCGAGCCACCGCGCCAGTGGCCTGTCTGGCCGCACGCTCCGCAGTGCGCCCCTGCCTTCATCTTCGATCCTGGCAACGCCCTTCTTCTGCGGAGGCCCGCCGTCTCGCTTGGCGATGTAGCCGCGCACCTGCTCAACCTCTTTGAGCTCGTCCTTGGCGCGCGCCATCTTCTTGGTGAAGAAGGCTGCCTGCTCCTCCGCGTCAACGATCGCGCCCTGCAGCTTGTCGGGTAAGCCGTCGTCAAATATGTCGGGGCTGTCGGACGAGGTGCCGTCGAATCTGTCCTCGGACCTACGCTCATCGTCGTAGGCCTCCGCGGCGCACACCCTCTCGCAGCCCTTGTCGCGACCTCCGCGGCCCTCCTTGTCGCGGTGGCCCCCGTGGCCGTCCACGACCGAAACATTGGGCAGGTTAGTCATGAGAGGTTAATCATGAGCTGCTCCTGGATCCTCGTGGGATTGAACTTGTTGCCAACCGCATTGGGCACGCTAGCCGCGCGCTCAGGAGGCAGCCGGGCCCCCTCGATGTAGAGGTCGGCCAAGACCTCGTCGGGCACCTGGATCCCCTGGATCCCCTTGGCCTTCAGCTTCGCAGCCACGCCGTTGCAACGGTTGTTGAAGTAACGGATATCTTCGAACTTGTGCCGGACACAGGCCGGCATCATGAAAGTCTGCAATAGCGCTGGGGCCTCCAGACCCTCGATCTCGGGAAAAAGCCCCCCGAGGTTGGCCAGGAAAACATCAACCGAATCGTCGCCCGTGATGGTCTCCAGGCCGAGCTCCTCGCACGCATCCTCGGCCTTGCCCTTGAGGCTCGCCAGGAGCGTCGCTCCCTGCTCGAGAGGCTTGACCTCCGCGCCGATCTGCCAAACGGCGACCTCCCGGCGGAACTTATTCATTGTCTTGCTTGTGCCGTCGAAAACGGGAACTGGGATCTTGCCCCCAGCATTATTGCCCTCGCCGCTGGCTGCATCGGCTCCTCCAATAGTCGCCATGCTGGCGGCGACCAAGCGCGAGAGGTATCAGCCGCAATCACGAGCTGCAGTGCCTACTATGGCCACTGCGAAGTCACGCACGCTGCCGTGATCGAGTTAGCTCCACCACCAATGTAGACCCAATGCTGCGAAGAGGGGTCGTAGTGCAATGATAACCGCGAGGTTGTAGATCAGCAGTGCTACAAATGTGATCCGAAAAGGTGGAGATATATGGTTGCTTAGCGGACCATGCAAAGGTACCTCCCGATGCGCCCAAGCTCAAGGGCCCTGAAAAGGAGTGTGCCCAGATGGGCACGGCAAAGGTCAGCACATCAGCATGCATGCTTGCAGATCAGCACTGACACTGTCGCACTGCCCCCACTGTTCCCACCACTGTCCCCACCACGGTCCCACTCTTCACACTGTCCCCACCCCCCACCACCATCCCCACCACCGTCCCAACCACTGTCCCCACCAGTCCCCCATCCGGAGTGGGAGAGGAGGGGGAGTCGTTGCGGCGAGGGGGCATGGGGGGGAGGGGGAGGGTTCGAACGGGTAGTAACCCCCCCGGTTTTCCAGGAGGGGGGGAGGGGTTCGAACCGGCAGTGACCCCCCCCCCCTTTTCATGATGGACCGGGGGGGTGGGGGGAGGAGGGGGTTGGAACCCCCAGCGAGCCCCCCCGGTTTTCGAGAGGGGGGGGACGGGTTGGAAACCCCCAGTGGCCCCCCCCCGTTTTTTGCCAGCAACGGCAGAACACGCTCTTTAAAAGCTGGAGGTGGAAGAATGGGAGTCGAAAGCTGCTGGTGGGTGGCGGGAGTCGGAAGTTGCAGCTGGAGGTCAGTCAGTTGAGGTGGGAAGTCGATAGGTGGCAGTCGAAAGCTGGAGGCGGAAGATTGGGAGTCGACATCGGTTGCTTGATGGTGAAGTCGGAAGTTGCAAGCTGGAGGTCGATCGGGTGAGGTGGGAAATCGATAGGTGGGTGTCGAAAGCTGGAGGTGAAAGATTGGGAGTCGACAGCTGATGGTTGATGGTGGGAGTCGAAACTTGGAGGGTGGAGGTCGGTTATGCGAGGTGGAAAGTCGACAGATGGAGGTCGAAAGCAGGAGGTGGGAGATTTGGGAACGACAGCTGATGGTAGTGGTGGGAGCAGGGAACTGGAAGCTGGAGGTTGGTCAGGCGATGTTGAAGCTGGATCGTATTAGTGAGAATACCTATACGACCACCCTTCGGGTGATAAGGAGGTTGTGGGGGGAACCGACATCTGACTCAATCGATCTCACTATCGATCTCACTCAATGGGACACCACGGGACACCACGGGACACCACGGGACACCACGGGACACCACGGGACACCACGGGACACTTGTCGATCTCACTATCGATCTCCCTATCGATCTCACTCAACGGGACACCACGGGACACCACGGGACACCGCGGGACACCTCTCGATCTCACTATCGGTCTCACTATCGATCTCACTATCGATCTCACTCAACGGGACACCACGGGATACCTCGGGACACCACAGGACACCGCGGGACACCACATCGATCTCAGTATCGATCTCAGTATCGATCTCACTATCGATCTCACTCAACGGGGCACCACGGGCCACCACGGGACATCACGGGACACCTGTCGATCTAACTATCGATCACACTATCGATCTCACTTTTTGGGACACCACGGGACCCCTCGGGGTACCACATCGATCTCAGTATCGATCTCACTATCGATCTCACTCAACGGGACACCACGGGACACCACGGGACACCTGTCGATCTCACTATCGACCTCACTATCGATCTCACTTTTTGGGACACCACGGGACACCACGGGACACATCGGGGCACCACATCGATCTCAAAATCGATCTCACTATCGATCTCACTCAACGGGACACCACGGGACACCACGGGACACCTTGGGACACCACATCGATCTCACTATCGATCTCACTATCGATCGCACTTTTTGGGACACCACGGGACACCACGATACACCTCGGGGCACCACATCGATCTCAGTATCGATCTCAGTATCGATCTCACTCTACGGGACACCACGGGACACCACGGGACACCACGGGACACCACGGGACACCACGGGACACCGCGGGACACCGCGAGCCACCGCCAGACGGACGGACGGGGGAGAATCATTTGTCTTGACTTCGCCCTAGCAACGGCGGACACCACGGGACACCACGGGACACCGCGGGACACCGCGGGACACATAGGGCCACCGCCGGACGGACGGACGGACGGGGGAGAATCAGCTGCCGTGACTTCGCCCTAGCAATGGCGGGTTCATTCCTCTCGCGCGCCCATGCAGCTTCGCCTCGCCCGCACGCACGACACGAACGAAGCGAAACGATTTCCGGGTTGGGGGTATCCATTCCACTGCGATGCCACCCCCCAACCTCCGATACCGCGCCCTCCGAAAACGCAAGTCGGGCGGGCGGGAGATTGAATGAAAAACCTTCGATCAGTTTTGGGGCGTCCAAGCGGACAGGCGGGACACTGTGGGAGAGTGTTGAAGGCAAACGTATCACGACCGCCGAAGACGTTGGATCGGCGGGGGGGGGACATGAAATGACACGTTCACTCAGTGATGGGGCACCCATATCGAGTTAACAGGACGTGAAAGGCCAACTTCATTTTGTGATGGGGCAGGGTTATCACACCCTCCGAAGACGTTGGTCGGGCGAGCGGGACACCAAATGAAACCGTCGCTTAAGGCCTGGACCGTCCATATCCGGAGGGCGGGCTATACATTAGATGCAACCATAGCTCTGTCATGGAAGCGAGATAAGAGAAAACATGTCATAACCGCCGAAGACGCTGGTCGAACGAGCGGGATATTAAATAAAACACTTACTCAGTGATGGTACGTCCAAGCAGGCGTGCGACACATTGAATGCAAAGTTTACTCTCTGATGGGAGAGATTGAAGGGAACATCTACCACTACCGCCGAAGACGCAGATCGTCTGGGCGGCACATGGCATGAAACCAACACCCAATGATGGAGCGTCAATATGGGTAAAGCGGGACATGAAATGCAGCCATAATTTTGTTGATGGGGCAGGGGGGCATATCTCCAAAGGTTCCAAGAAAGGAAAGGGTTCCCCCCTCGAGGCCCCCAACCCGAATCCGCAGCAGAAACCAACAAGCTAGCGCAATACAGTCGAACCAAGCAAAGTTTGTTTGAAACCCCTTCCCGCTCGTCCGACCTCACCCTCTCCCTCTGCCAGCGCCCGCCACCCCTTGGAGGGCGTGGGAGGGAGGAGGGGGCGCGCTCCTCGACTCGGATTTCTCGGGTTCGGGCGGCGGGGCAGCGTCTTTCTTCCCCTGGGCGCAGGCGGGGGGAGGGAGAAGAGGCCAGAGGGGGAAAGGGGGAGGAGGGACGGGGGGGCGGGGGAGAGAAGGGAAGGACTCTGAATAATCAGGAAAAAGACGGTTTCTGTCGAGACGCTTTGCTTGGACGAGTGGTTGGAAAGATTGTGGTTTAGCAAGCATGGTCGGAAAATATGTAGTATAACAGCTACGACGTGTACTGTTGCACCCATGACTCGCATACTAAATAATCTAGCTTGGTAGCGCGACATCTGCGATCCAAGGTTTTTTCAGCTTTCCATTCCATATCCGATTCTGGCCAGCCGTAGCGTTTTCGGTGTCGTCCTGCTCCTCTGGGCTTGGCTTCTGGACCCTGCTGGTTTGAGCATTGGCGTTTTCGAGTTCGTGGGGGCAAGCGATCAGACATCTGCGCTTTACCCTCGCATCCACAAAGAAAAAGTACTACGGACCGGAAACGACGCTCGAACTCAAGTTGTGATCGCCCAAATTACAGATGGCACCGTGACAAACAACACTCGAAGGATAGTGGCAGCGCACGACGTCCACTGGATTCGTTCACTCGTTCGACACCTCTTGGATGGGTCCCTGGCATCAACCGATATCATATCAGGGATACGCACAGCTTCTGAAACGATGATGGTTCCAAACCGATTTTCCAGAGGCCCAGTGGTGCCCAGCAATATGTGGCCGATTTCGAAGACAGGTCTTCCAGTTTGCAACGCCTCTGAGGCAGCAGCGGCATGACGCGAATGGGAAGTGCTCACTGCGTACTTCGAACTGCTTCGGAGCAGCAGTAGGCTCGGCGCCTACGTGGCGCTCTATGACCTAACCCTGTCGGACGCGGAGTTTCAACGCGGCTTTCAGACGGATGACATAACAGGGAGCGGCTTCCTTCTCCGAGGAGCTGAATTGTCAGAGCGGGCGACAGCACTTTGACCTGCGATTTCATGTCGACGACGACCTCTCGAAGCACGCAAAGGCACCACGAGTGTGCACCAGAATGTTTAGAGATCACGGCGCAACAGAATCTTCAACACTTCATGATACGGCTAGAAAATAGCACACTGGTGACAGCAACTCTTCTTGGCAAGTTCCGGATTCTGCGTGGCATGACGACTCGCGCACACAGTCGCGCGTATCTAGCATATAGGGCAGCGAAGCCTTGAGCCACGACTGCGTCGGATGTAGCGTTCGCTATACATCCTCTCCTGAAACTTCGTTTGAAGTGACGAGACCTACTGGGTGGACCAGGAAGGGCTTGAACCAGAACGAGCAGTCGAAGCACAACAAGGCAGTGGAGAGTTCTGGGGCAAAGACAAAGGCGATAACAGCAAGACGAACGGCTGCACCAAGCACGGCTCGAAGTGCCACTCCACCAATGACAGCCCTCTCGATGGGGGCCAAGGTCAACGCGGCGATCATTGGTTCCAAGGCGCAAGCAGAGGCAATAACAAAGGTAACAGGAGGTAGTCGACACACCTCGGCAACAACGGCAGGAAAGGACACCGCTCGCAAGGCAAGGGCAAAGGCAGGTACTCCAAAGGTTACCGCAAAGACACGTACAACTCCAGCTACAGAGGCAACAGGAAAGGTCGTGGCAAAGACTATCGATACCGCAGTGGAGGTGTCTCATCATCGGACGGCAT